ATAAACTTAGAAGAATATATTACATATTTTAAGAATATTAATCTTTTTATTAACTAAATTAGAGATATAATTTAAGTATACTAAGAACTAATAGTATATATAAATATTAATAATTATCTTTAGGATATAGTTCTTAATTAGTATCTTATACTTAGTAAGTATAAGAAAGATATATATATATATATATCTTTATAAAATAGAATACTTAGAGATCTCCATAACGTAATCGGACACCGAACTGCTGAGACACCGAACCGCGGCAACGCCCCTCCGTGTCTTGCACGTCTTGCAACCTCAATATCTTGAAGCCTAAGAACATATTTATATTTTTTAAATCCTCTAATTCTTGATATTTCTTCTTGCAGATAATATTATAGATAAAAATAAATATTTAAATCTTGCTATTAAGATCTTTTAAAGTAGAGAATATTTTATAAAGATTATCTTTGCTAATACTTTTAATATTAAGAAAAGTATTCTTAGAGATTATCTAAAAGATGTTAAATTATATATTTATAAAGATACTAATAGTAGGAAGCTATCTATAATTAAAGAAAATATATTAAAGTAGTGGCTTCTTAATATAGTATACTATAGATTATCTCTTAAGATCTATAATACTTGATTCTCGGCTGAATTACTTTACTAAGTAAAATTAAAGCTAAACTAATATAGTTATATATTAGAATACTAGATTTCTTGCTTTATTCAATACTATTCGAATTTAAAGTCTAAATTTATATTAAAATATAATTATTTATATACTAAATATAAGGATTCTTAACTTATTTAGAAGTAGTTTAATCTTATCTATAATATAGTCTAAAAATATAGGATTTGTAAGAAGGATATATAAAATATAGATAAAACTAGATTCTAGATAGGAATAGCTTCAACTGTATGTATAATCTATAGCTTAGAAATAAGAAACTTATGTATAAAGTCTATATAGTCTAGAAATTATAAATAGATAACTTTAATTATTATAATTTTAGCTTTAGGAACTATACTACCTCTATAAATTATTTTTACTATATAGAATTACTAATTAATATAGTATAATATCTGTCTAAGATTTTATTATCTTAGTATTAGTAAAAATAACTAGACTACTAATAATCTTGATTTTAATTGGCTTTAGAATATATTTAACTGATATATAGTATTAAAATCTATTAGTAATTACTATTTATTAATTCTTAATAATTATAGAAGCTATATAATATAGTAGTTTAATTAGTTCTATATATCTTAAAAGATTATTTTTTTATATATATCTACTTACTTGTCTTATAAACTGCAACTACTTGATATTACTTATTTTAGGCTATTAAAGAAGTTATATGATTAGTATATTTATAAAGCTATTTAATATAGAGATAAATTTATAAATAAGATAGATTTCTTATAATTCTATAGTAATATATATACTAAAGTCTTTATAAGTATTAATATTCTTAGTAGATTTTATACTTCAGGTCTTGTTTCTTTAAATTCTTTAAAGATACTTATAATACTATAGATTTAGCTAAAAATACTAACTCTACTAATATCCTTATATTCTAATTAGTCTTTTTATCTTGGAAAAACATCTATAAATCTATATAAGCTAGAAAAATAGTAATAAGAACTCTAAGAACTTATAGATTAAGATCTAATATTAATAGTTTCCTATGAAGTAATTAAGAAAGTAATAAAAGCTATAGAATAGTTTATATAAAATATAGTTCTACTTTAATACTAAGTTAGATAGTTTTAGTATACTTAGATATATAAGAAAGAGAAGAAAAAGACCTTATATTACTTTATATAGAATAGAGATACTTTAATAGACTAAGAAGACTTTAATATAGTCTAGGTATATGAGATTAAGACCTCAACACTAAGACTACCTAAGGTGCGCCGGCCGGCCCGTTGCAGTATATATAGAAGGGAGGGATATAATTGGTTGAAATGTTAAGAAAATACTAAGAATTAATATATATAGTATTTTTTAGTGGTTCTAAATAGCTTTATGAAGCAGCCAGCGAGGTAGGAAGCAAGGCGGCGGAAGACCGCCGCGGTTCGGTGTCTCAGCGGTTCGGTGTCCGATTACGTTATTTACTTTAAGTTTAATATAACTTAAGCTCTTGTCTATCTATAAGTAATTAGTAACTATAGATAGATAGATATATACTAAGATAAGTTAATCTAGATATTTATTTAAGATATTATATATAACTATAAAGTATTCTATATTAATAATATCTATAATTTAACTAATATTAATATAGATATACCTTTATTCTAATCTTACTACTAATATTAATTTATTTATATAAATTATAATAATAGTTAAATTCCTCAGATATCTAGATAATAAGATATTATTATAGTAAAGATAGTTAGATAATAGATAGAAAATCTAGTAGAGATATTAATATAGACCTAATTATTATATAAACAACTATTAAGAAGAATATTCTTACTAGAAATACTATATTAATATATACTAAGATTATTTTAATAATAACTACTAAGATTATAATAATTCTTAGAAATATTAAAAAACTAATATAATAGAAACTACTATAATAATTATTCTTTGAGAAGCTTCTATATATTTTTGTATAGTTATAATTAGTGTAATAATCTTAACTATAGAAAGTCTTGATTTACTAATATAAATCTAAATACTAATTACTTAAATAATAATAAATATCTCTTTTAGAATAGATAGAATATACTAAGATAGAGTAAACTATAGTTATAGCTATAATCTCTATATTTTAGATAGTTACTTTTAGCTAATTATTCTTAGAATAAGATAAAGAATACAAATATTAATTTTAGAGATAATAAATAGTTCTAGAACTATATTAGTAAACTATAGTAAGTCTATTAAGTATCTATCTTAGATAATTATTATTTATAGTACTAATTATATATTACTATAACTAATTCTATTATATCTAATAATCTTAATAATATCTATTATAGTTATAATAAAGAATATAATTATTATAAGAATTAGACTAGTATATATTATAGTAATTATTATAATAATAGTCATAATTATTAGTAGTTTAATTATAATAATAAAAATAATTATATATAGTTTATCTCCTCTTTCTCTAATAATAAATCTAATATATATAAAAGATTAATCTAATTAGATATATAATTAGAAGAATATATTATTTTAAAATTCTCTAATATAGTACTACTAATAAGAAGAGATATTATACTAATATATATTAAATTATCTAATAATATATTTATCTTTATTAGATATAAAAAAAATATTAATATTAATATACTCTATATATAGTATATAGTTATAACTATAGTAGATCTTAATAAGAAGACTAATCTAAGAGTTATATATCTAAATACAGATTATAGCTCTATTCTTATTAGTAAAGTTTTTAATTCAAGTATTAAAGATATCTATATTACTAATATTTAGTTCTAAGTATATTATAAGTAAATATATTATTCTTTATATATATTTCTTAAAGACTATAATAGAATAGAAGAATATTAGTTCTCTAATTAAGCTCTTAGATATTAAATATTAATATAGTTATATTACTAAAAGAATATTTATTATAAATAATCCTAAGTTTAAAGCTGATATACTTATTAGTATAGATATAATTAGTTATAAAAGTATCTTATTTAATCACTACTACTAAAAAACATACCTAGAGGACTATATAAATATATTTATTAATATAAAGATATAAATTAAAAAATAAGTTAATATATTTATCTACTTAGTAAAATATATTATTATATCAGCTTATACTATAATGTATATATTAATCTATATAAAGATAAACTTATCTAAAGATATAGACTATATTTTTAAATCTTTATCTTATAAGAATCTTTTATACTATATATATAATTAATTAATTTAGATTTTACTTTTATTTAGATAATAAACTAAATCTTATATAAGATTATAGTAGTAAGATATACTAGATTTAATATAATTATAGATAATAAATTTATTACTATATATTAAGTTAAAGATTATACAGCTAAGCTAGTATACTATCTAGATAAGTATAATTTTAAATACTTATTATAATATATAGAGAAGCTGAGATATTCTAATCTACTTTAGTTTTAATAGATATTAATATTATTATCTTACTTAATCTCTACTTAAGAATATATATTAAATCTATATTAAAGAATAATTAGTATATATTATAGATCTTTAAAATTATTTATAAGATAATAAGATTATAATTAGTAGAAGACTAATATTATCTAGATATTATAAACTCTAAATTAATAAATAGAGATAAAATAATAAAAAATATTAATACTATAGATAGCTATATAGTAATAGTTATAATAAAGAGAATCTAGATATAGAGTCTACTCTAGATATAAATATTCTAGATAAAAGATTAGAATTATCTAAAGACTATAAACTACTTTATTTTATATCTAAAAATACTACTATATTACTAAGAGATTAAGTTAATTTATAGTAAAGACTCTATAGTATTTAGTTGTCTTATCCATGTAATTAATTAATATAATATATAAATAAAGCTAAATAGATCTAATATTAAGATTACTAATATATTTAAAAATTAATAACTAGAAATATCTATAAAGAAAAATATTAAGTTACTACTAAAGCTATAAATATAGTATATTAGTAAATAAGATAAGCCTTGGACCCTCACTACACTTGGTATATGGAAGGGTGGGCTGCCTCACAGGCTTTCTTATAGGGCTGTTGGCAGGACTATTCCTCACAGGCTTGCTCCTCGCAGGGCTGTTGACAGGGCTGTTTATACGGCTGTTTTATAGACAGCCTCACAGGGCTGTTCACAGGGCTGTTCCTCGTAGGCTTACTAGTAGGGCTGTTAGTAGGACTATTTCTCATAGGCTTGCTTGCAGGGCTGTTGACAGGGCTGTTTCTTATAGACTTTACTAGTAGAGCTGTTAATAGAACTATTTCTTATAGACTTACTTATAGAGTTATTAGTAGAGTTATTTCTTATAGACTTACTAATAGAGCTGTTAGTAGAACTATTTCTTATAGATTTACTTATAGAACTATTAGTAGAGCTATTAGTAGACTTATTAGTAGACTTATTTATAAGTCCATTAGTAGAGCTATTTCTTATAGACTTACTTATAGAACTATTAGCAGGACTATTTCTTATAGACTTACTTATAGGACTGTTAGCAGGGCTGTTTCTTATAGACTTACTTATAGAGCTGTTAGTAGAGCTGTTAGTAGACTTATTAATAGATTTACTTATAGACTTCCTTACAAAGCTATTTATATAACTGTTTATAAGCTATTTATAGGGCTGTTTACAAGCTATTTATAGGACTATTAGTAGGACTATTTCTTATAGGCTTTCTTATAGAACTATTCACAGGGCTATTTATAAGCTATTTATAGAGCTGTTCATAAGCTATTCACAGGGCTGTTTATAGAACTATTAGTAGACTTATTAGTAGACTTTCTTATAGGACTATTTATAGGGCTGTTTCTTATAGACTTACTTATAGAGCTGTTAGTAGGGCTGTTAGTAGGCTTATTAGTAGATTTACTTATAGGCTTTCTTATAGGACTATTTACAGGGCTGTTTACAAGCTATTTAGAGGGTTATTTATAAGCTATTTATAGGGCTATTAGTAGGACTATTTCTTAAAGACTTTCTTATAGAACTATTCACAGGGCTATTTATAAGCTATTTATAAGACTATTTATAAGCTATTTATAGGACTATTAGTAGGGCTGTTTCTTATAGACTTTCTTACAGAGCTATTTATAAACTGTTTATAAGCTATTTATAAGACTATTTATAGGGCTATTAGTAGACTTATTAGTAGGCTTACTTATAGACTTCCTTACAGAACTATTCATAGGGCTATTTACAAGCTATTTACAGGGCTATTCATAGAGCTGTTTATAAGCTATTTAGAGGGCTGTTTATAAGCTATTTATAGAACTATTAGTAGAACTATTTCTTATAGACTTTCTTACAGAGCTACTTCTAGAACTATTTATAAACTATTTATAAGATTATTTATAAATTATTTATAGAACTATTTATAGAGCTATTAGTAGACTTATTAGTAGACTTACTTATAGACTTTCTTATAGAACTATTTATAGAACTGTTTATAAACTATTTATAGAGCTGTTTATAAACTATTTATAGAGCTGTTTATAAACTATTTATAGAGCTGTTTATAAGCTATTTATAGGACTGTTTATAAGCTATTTATAGAACTGTTCACAGGGCTATTTATAGAATAGTTGGCAGAATAGTTAGTAGAATAGTGGCAGGGTGGTTGGTAGAGTGGTTGGCAGAATAATTAATAAAGTAGTTGATAGGATAATTAGCAGAGTGGTTTATAGAATAATTTATATATAGATAAAATATTAAAATTATATAGTTTAAAACTAAAAGTATAGAAATTTTAAGAGAGTAGAATTACTAAGTCAGCTGGATAAAAGTAGAGTGAACTATTTATATAAGAAAATATTAAAATTTCTATTTAAAAAATCTAGAAAAATTAATAAAAAGAGATTCTAGACTGAAGATAGTTTTAGACTATAGCAAAAATTCTAATCTATTTATAGAATTTTAAATTTCTTAAAAATATTAAAAATCAAGCCTGTAAAGCTTATATATATAGAATTTCTCTTTTTTCTTAATATCTGACCTATTTAGGCAAGTAGGGCTATAAACTTAATATAGAATAAAAGATAGAATTTTACTATAATAGATAAGTCTATTTTTAGAAAAATATATTAAGATTTGACTGAGAAATCGACTTTTAAATTAAATTGTAACATTTTCGTATATAATAGTAAAGATTAGAAAATTATTAATAAGATATTTAATCTTCTTTATACTTAGAGTAAGATAGAAATCTTTTATTTAAAATTATATTCTAATAGTATACTTTATCTTTATAGTCTAGAGAATAGTAGTTAATCTAACTATTAGTATTAAAATAGTTAAAGAATATACTATAGTAGACTTATAAGAAGCTAATAAGAAAACAAAACTAAATCTTTATCTAGTTTTATTGAAGAATAGTATTATCCAACTAATAGTAGAATATACTTATATTGTAATTATAGATATTTATGAATACTTCTACTAATAATTAATTAAATAAATATATTATAATTATCTTACTATTATAATATATTAAGACTAAGAGATATTTTATATTATAATTATAGAATTTATTAATTCTATTCTATATATCTAAAGATAAATAAATCTTAATCTTAAGAAATTCTATATATTCTATAGAGCTTATATTAATAATCTTATTATTATATTACTTAGTCTTAACTAGTATATTAAGTAATTATATTAAGTATTTAAATATCTATAGATAATAAATATTAAACTAAAACTAATAAAGACTTTTATAGCTTTTCTATTAATATACCTTCTAGAATAATATATAGATAGCCTAAGACTCTTTATTCTTAAAAGAAAATTAATAGCTATCTAATCTCTACTATTTTCTAATATATTATTAGTCTTAGAATATCATCTTAGAATTATAAGCTATCTTAGATATAGAATATTCTAATATATTATTTATATATAGTTACTTTAGAAGTAGAAGATTATACTATTTAAAAACTTACTAAGTTAGAAAGACTAAAATTAAAAGATATACTCTACTAAGACTATATAAATATTAATATTTAAAGAATTTATTATATTTAAGAATCTATAAACTAAGTTTAATAAGAGAGTAGACTATATACTAGTATACTTCTAATCTAAATAATAGCCATATATTAATCTAGATATATCTAGAAGAGATTACAGTACTATCTTATATTATATTAATTTAAAGAAGACTTATATAAATATCTTTACATTATCTCTATATATCTAGATATAACTAGTTCTCTTTCTAAGTAGAGTACTTATTATATATAAATATAATTATTAACTAATAGAGATTAAAGTATCTTAACTTATATAGATAATTTATAAAATAAGATACTATCTTAAAGCTATATATATACTAATAGTAGTATATATAGATTATATAAGTATAGTAGATTTTACGTAGAAAATAATCTTTAATATAATTATACTAGAGTATCTTAATCTTTATCTTATTTATATATTTTAATTTATATAAGAATATTATCTTAAGATATATTATAAATTAGAAAAGATAAATAGTCTAATAGATATATTATTCTAATTTTCTATGAAAAATATACTATATATACTATTTAATCTTAATAATCTTCTTAAAATAGAATTAGTAGTTATATAGAATAATAGTATTCTAAATCAACTAGATAAATAGTATATCTACTACTATAAGATAATAGAATATAGTACTTTAATAATCTTATTAGTAGATAATTTTAAAGAAGATATCTATATAATCTATCTAAAAGATATATATATATCTAGTATTATCACTACTATTATATGCGAAAATATCACAATTTAATTGTAAACTCGATTTCTCGGTCAATTCTTTATAATATTTTCTAAAAATAGACTTATCTGTTGCAGCAAAATCTCGCCTTTTATTCTATATTAAATTTGTAGCCCCACCTGCCTAAATAGGCAAGATATCTAGAAAAAAGAGGGATTTTATATATATAAGCTTTACTAGCTTAATTTTTAATATTTTCAAGAAATTTAAAATTCTATAAATAGACTAGAATCTTTACTATAATATAATACTAACTTTAGGCTAGAATCTCTATTTTTGATTTTTATAGATTTTTTTAATATAAGTTTTAGTATTTTCTTATATAAATACTTTATTCTACTTTTATTCAGCTTATTAATCTCTAATTAATAGCTCTTACTATATAAAAAAGCTGTACTTATTCTTTGAATAGTCTATTACTTCTATTTATATTCTTATTTATAGCTTTATCTATTTTTACTTTTATATTTTTATAGTTTTCTAATATTATAGAACTCTATTATAGTCTATATTACTAGAATAATTGAATTTCTTATAGATTAGTATACTTTGTGTATACTACTACTATTAGTACCTACTGAATTACTTTTAATATATAATTCTAGACTATTTTCTAGATCTATATATTTTTAAAATATACTTTAATTATTAAGTATTCTTTCTATTCTTCTTCTATTAGTCTATAATTAATCTATCTTAATTCTTAGTTATATCTTTATAGCTACTATATAACTTCTTAATCTCTAAGTATTTTATCTTATAGACTAAGTAGACTACAAAGAATATCTATTCTTAATCTAATTTCTGAATTCTTTCTAACTATTTAGATACTTATTAATAATACAGCCTACTAGCTGTCTACTATTCTAAGAAATAATTTTATTTATCCGCGTGAAAGGTCTCTATAGTATTAGAAATAATTATAAAATGTAGTATAGAATATATTATATATCTACTATTTTTATTAATAATCTATTAAATTATATAATCTTACCTATATAAATATACTATATTTCATCTGTATAGTCCTATACTAGTTAGATAAATATATCTATAGTTTATCTATATATTCTTCTCTTTTATAAAGTACTATATAAAGAATAATATAGTTCTATCTATTATCTATATACTATTCTCTTTTCTATATAATATTTATCTTTATCAGGATTCTGACAGCTGTTAATTTATATTAAAAATTTATTAGTATAATAGTATAGTAGTCTATACATCTATAAATTATTAAATTAATAAATATATTACTAGTAAAAATATTTTAATAAGTATTATAGAAGAATTAATTTACTTATATAGACTACTAGAATATAATAATAATTATCTATTTTTCTCTATATAGATTTAGTTTTATAATATAGAATTTAGTAATTATATCTATACTTAGTATAATATAGATCTTTTATCTTATATACTAGATTAATTAATTAAGATACTTAAGAATGTTAATCTATATATTTTAATATATTAATCTACTTGGGAATAGCTATATAAGACTAAACTATATTCTATTCTAATTAATATTATATTAGTACTATAGATTAATCTTATAATAGAGAAAGGTACAGACTATTAGTAGTATAATCTTTCTATATTATCTAAGATAACTGCTGTTATTCTGGATATAGGTACTAATTATAGTTACTATATATTTTAAGATATAGTTCTATATTTATATACTACTAAAGAATAATTATAGTTAATCTATATTAATCTATTCTGTATTTTCTATTTTATTCTATATTATATTCTTCTTTTTCTATATAATAATCTAGACTAGTACTAGGGTCTATGGCTTTGTAGGGATACTATTCTATATTCTAATAATAATCCAGACTATAAAGACAGCTAATTAATAGTCTAAGTATTT